TTAGATACATTATCAAAGATTCTGCTTTTTTGTAAGTCTCTTAATACAGTACTGGCACACGATGCCAACAGCCCGTGTTATTATCGCGTCATTCTGGTACTTTAATAGGTCCCTGGGAGGAGGAGAATTAGTTTATTCCTTTGAGATTATATATAGATTTTCTTTCTTAATTTTATCTACAGTGTAAACTTATACCCAGATCATGTCTTTTATTTGTTTTGTATTTTACATAGCACTATTTTTGCCTTTAGACAAGTTTAGAAGAGACAATGAGGAAAGATAGTTTAAAGGGTAGTAGAAAGAAGTTGGACTTGAGATTTGAGATGGATGTGAAAGGGCTTGACGAGGTAGTTGCTGAGGTAAGAGGCAAAGTTGGGACTTTGACTTTGGAGCAGGCTTCTTGGACATGCAGAACAAAATCTTTGTCAGAGAACATTCTGGCCCAGGTAAACTGTGAACATTGGTCTAGATTAGTACAGGACTTTGAACATAATTATGCCTACGTGACTTGTAAATTGGCACATCTGTATTTTTCCGCTGTCCTTAGTTAACTTTGTATTTTAAAATACTCATCTGAATCTATCTACTACTTTTGGCCACCCAGAACCCATTACCTTTTCTTCAGTGCAACAGTGTTCCCTTCCCCACCTTCTTTGGAAAATGATGCAGCTCCAACTTTTAGGGCTTTTGCTTTGGAAAGGCAGACCCCAAACCGCGATCCAGATGTAGCTGTGATCCAGGCCTGCCTACTGAGGTTATTCGATTTCCATACCTACAAACCATGGTTGAGAGAAGGAAAAAACCCCACACTTTTCAGAGGCAATCCTAGGTTTGAACTTTTGAAAAGGAGGAGCTCCTTCCACTGTGGTTGTTCAAAGTAGAGGGCTGCCTGCAGCTGTCAGCAGCCATCTTGCCACTCCCTGGAATAAGCTTGATGAAACAAAGTTTATGCTGAGGAAAGCAGACTTGAGAGAAAAAGAGGGACCAAGTCCCTACTGATCTTATTTGATCCACTCTATCTACTGCCTTCTGAACTTTCCTGAACCTATAGATTATCCTACCTCCCTTATTTCCTGTAAGTCACGGTGACTTGCATTATTCTGTCATAACCAAATCAGTGCTAGGTAATAGAATGTTTGTTTTGCTTCCACCCCTACAGAGGGGCTTGGGAGCATCTATATTCAAAGCTGAGAATTCTCCACAGAATCCAGTTCCCTTCTGTCTTGCTTTACTTTCAGAGGAGAGGACCATGAAGGCAGCGTCAGGCATACTGCACAAATGGCATCCGTGTTTCATCTCTTTTGTGCAGGTAGTTTAATAATAAATACCCCTTCCCTTATTAGGGAACAAGGTAATTTTATTTTACATTGAAATTTCTTCTGTAGTGAATAGCAGTGACAAACTAATATTTTTAAAGAGAAATTACTACTCATACCCTTAAGCGAAGCCCAAGAGGCTGTAAGAAAAAAGGAACAAATGGTACCTCTACTCTATAAGCTGTCTAAATTGAATCTGAATGTAGAAATTGTTGCTTTGTAGTCTTTTTTCTATCTAGCAAGAATAGTGTTAAAGAGGATCGTGGATGTTAATAACTTGTTCTTGACAACTTTTGAAGAGTAGGATAAAGGAAGGAAACTGCCCCCAGTGAAAAGTGATGATCTGCAATATCTGAAGAATTATTTCCCTGCAAGAAAATGTTATCATGAGACACTGAGATATGACTATTTTGGTAGCTTAAAGAAAAACAAATTTATAATACTAGATATTAACTATATTCAATGATATATATCAGAAATACTAGGATAGAAAAAAATATTTATTAATTTTCAAGTAGTTACATCATTTTTTTTCTTTTCAGTTCTCAGCATGAAGGCCATTTATGTACTGGCAGGTGAAATGTCAGGTTGAGAAGGCTCTAAGTCATTTGACAGTAGGGAAAGTGTTGGGTTTTCAACTTGGCGGCCAACTTTTTATTTTATTATTTTAAAAAAATTATATATATATATATATATAACTTAAAATGGAAGATTGCATAAATCATAAGTAGACAGCTTGATACATTCTCATCAAGAGAACATATCAATATAACAAACACCCAAATAAAGAAACGCTATGAGATTAGCTCCCGAAAATCCTCCATTTGGTTACTGTCTAGCCAATTACCGACCAAGGGCAACTGCCACACTGACTTCTAACACTGTAAATTAGAAATTGGCAGAGATTTTGAAAGGCACATTTCCACTGAAATGTGAAGGAAATTCCACTTATGATTTTACACCTAAAACTACATGAATATCTTTAGCAACAAAACCTACTTTCCTCCAGAGCACATAGGAACCCACCTATGTCTATATCTCATTTCCTTGGGAGCATCTTTAGATTAAATTTTAGATCTTGTAGTCTGGTGATGACGCTTTGACATAACATGGAGTAAGGATGCCATCGGGGTGCCTGGCTTACGTAGGGAGTGCCTGGATTGTCTGTGATAGTCACTGGGAGAAAGGGTTAAGGGGAGAGCAGCTATGTCCTTTCCTTCTCCCTTTCACCCTGTTCCATAATGAGCACCACTGTTTATTCTTTAAATAAATGAAAAGGGAAAGAAATAAAAGTGTCATTTAAGGGTTCCAATTTAATTTTCCTGCTTTATTCTTAAGCCCTGCTTAATCTTTCTTGATGCTATCTTAAGGAGTACAAATCTCTTTTGGCCGATCCACTTTCCTTCAAGGAACCAAAAGTGAACACAAGCAAACAGGTTAAAAGATAGCTCAGGAGCACTGGTCAATGTATGTCCTGTGTGTTTGGCTCAAGTAGAGGGAAAACATGATTTGCTTCAAAAGAATAATGCTCATTGCAATGTCCTGCTGCTGTTCTGGGGCTCATAGTGTGATATTCTGCAGCCATTTAAAATAATCTCTTGGCCATTTACCACAGCTAATAATGAGTAATTAATAGAACCCACTGAAAATGCAGATGCACCCTTTTCAAACTACTAAGAGTTACTCCTCATGTTGGAACATTGAGAGAGCGTTGACTTTGAGAAGCGTGGATAAATGATTTGGTTTAAAACCAGAAACTCTGGATTATACAATACTCATAGCATTAAGCAAATTCAGAATTAAAAGAATGTACCTTCAGAGAGACAAATGCCATAGGATCTCTCTCATATGTGAAATCTAAAAAAAGCCAAACTTGTAGAAGTAGAGATTAGAATGGTGGTTACCAGAGACTGAGGATGGTGATGTGGATGGAGAAAGGGGAGATGTTAGTTAATGGGTACCAAGTTTCAGGCAGTAGGTGTAAGTTCTGCTGATCTGTTACCCAGCCCAGTGACTGTAGTTAATAATAATCTATTGTATTTCAACACTGCTAAAAGAGGATTTTAAATGTTCCTACCATAAGAAAGGATAAATATTTGAGGTGATAGATATGCTAATTAGTGTATTGGATCATTCTATGATGTATACATGTATTGAAACAACCTCATACCTCACAAATAGATACACTTATTATGTCAATTAAAAGTAAAATAAAATACTTAAAAAGAATGCACTTAAATAATATATTTTTACATTAAACAATAATCTTAGTAACACTACAGTGAGAACCTATAAATTTAGCAATTTCTAGAGCAGTCATTTTATTGGATTTAAAATGGTTATTATAGTGGATAAACCCTCAAAATATTTTATATAGTAGTGCCACGGTTTATTATTCAGAATTCATTTAAAGTACACATGCAATACATTGTGTCAGCTTCTTGTAATCCTTGCAATAAGTAATTATTGAGAACAGTTGAGAGGGTGACTTTATGAGTTTAACAAAAAAGGCCTCTACCCTTAGAAACTTGCAGTCTTGTTGAAGATGGAGATTCTGAATCAGTTATGGCTCAGTGTCACTCTTGTCTGAAATAATATGTGGAAAGCCACATTAATGGGAGTGAGCATAGTGTATCTGGAGGAGGAGTAGACAGGTCAGTCCAACTGAATGCCATGTGTATATGTGTCTGTTTATGTGTTTATATACCAAGAGTAAAATAAAATAATGAAGAACTCATAAAATTGGACATGTTTTGGATAGTTTTGTATTGTCATAAACACATTTACACTCAATAAATGTGGAAGGAATAAATTAAAGACAAAAAGCTTTGAATGCCTTAAGGAAGCTGAGAGTGTTAATCTTGAAGGTAGCCAGAAGATATAAGTTATTTCTCTCTTCGTGACCAGAAAGGCTAGAATTCCTTTTATAGACAGAGCAAAGTTGCAAGTTTTCAGAAAGATGGGAACTGAAACAACATTTTAGCTTTTAAGACAAAATCCTACCTAATATTGTACATATTTAAATTTATGTGAAGTTGCCCAGAGGCAGTGGAATAAGTTAATCAAATGCTAAAAAAATGTCAAAATATTGGCTTACGCCTGTAATCCCAGCACTTTGGGAGGCCGAGGCGGGTGGATCATGAGGTCAAGAGATCGAGACCATCCTGGTCAACATGGTGAAACCCCGTCTCTACTAAAAATACAAAAAATTAGCTGGGCATGGTGGTGCGTGACTGTAATCCCAGCTACTCAGGAGGCTGAGGCAGGAGAATTGCCTGAACCCAGGAGGTGGAGGTTGCGGTGAGCCGAGATCGCGCCATTGCGCTTCAGCCTGGGTAACAGGAGCTAAACTCCGTCTCAAAAAAAAAAAAAAAAAAAAAAAGAAATGTCAAAATATCTTATAGTTGAATATAAACTAGGTGGTTCAGTATCCTATAAGGTATAACAAATCCATCTGTTCCAAAGCCTAATGTACCTTTTTTTGGTGACATTAAATGCTTTAAATTATGTCGGCAAGATTTGTAGAAATATCAAACGCTAGAGTGATCAATATCAAATGTTAGACTGATTAAACCCACTCAAATATCATTATATATAATTATATGTTGGTATGTATATAGATACATGCCAAAATGCTATACAAGTCTATACAGACTTTTTTTTTTTTTTTTTTAAGATGGAGTTTCGCTCTTGTTACTCAGGCTGGAGTGCAATGGCACGATCTCAGCTCACTGCAACCTCCGCCTCCTGGGTTCAAGCAATTCTCCTGCCTCAGCCTCCCGAGTAGCTGGGACTACAGGCGCGCACCACCATGCCCAGCTAATTTTTGTATTTTTAGTAGAGATGGGGTTTCACCTTGTTGACCAGGATGATCTCGATGTCTCGTGATCCACCTGCCTCGGCCTCCCAAATGCTGGGATTATAGGTGTGAGCCACCACGCCCGGCCCGTGTTTTTAACATTACAAAAATATTAGCTCATTAGATTTTTTTTTTCTTTTCTCTTTTTTTTCGGACAGGGTCTTGCTCTGTCGCCCAGGCAGAGTACAGTGGCATGATCTCAGCTCACTGCAGTCTCCACCTCCCAGGTTCAAGCAATTCTCCTGCCTCAGCCTCCTGAGTGGCTGGAATTACAGGCTAATTTTGTATTTTTAGTAGAGACAGGGTTTCACCATGTTGGCTATGCTGGTCTCAAACCCTGGACCTCAAGTAGTCTGCCCACCTAGGCTTCCCAAAGTGCTCAGATTACAGGAATGAGTCACTATGTCCAGTCAGCCCATTAGAGTTTCTGATAGGATTTCAAATATTATGTCTTTGTCTGAAATCAGATCAATAACTTAAAAAATATAAACTAGTTATTTTACTCTATTTGCTTTCATTTGCCTTTTTTTCTGATTTTTTAAGTAATTAGTTCTAACAAAATGGTCCACTTGGCTGTGCTTATGTATATAGCTGATGTCAGCATATTTCTTTTTGCGTGTGTATCATCTTTTTCTTTCATCTACAAAGAATAAAATTAATTTTTGAGTGTGTACAGTTCTCTAAGCTTTAATATCTATAGATCTGGACAAGCAACAATCAATACAGAACAGTTCCATCACCTCCTCCCCAAATTCTCTCACACTACCAGTTTGTAGTGAGACTCTGTCTCTGATACCTAACCTCTGGCAACCACTAATTAGTTCATCATCTCTGTAGTGTTACCTTTTCCAGAATATCTTATAAGTGGAATTGTACCATAGTTAACCTTTGAGACTTGTTTCTTTCAGAAACCTTGGAGACTGGGAACTTAGCAAAATGTCTTTGAGTTTCATCCATGTCATTGATCATATCAATACTTTGTTCCTTTTTATTGCTGAGTATGATTCATTGAAGGAATGCATTATAGTTTACTTAGCCATTCACTCATTGAGTGGCATTTCATGCATTTCCAGTTTTGGATGATTATGAATAAAGCTGCTATAGACATTCATGTACAAGTTTTTCTGTAAGTATCAAGTTCTCATTTCTCTAGAGCAAATATCTAGAAATAGGATGACATGGTTATACTACAAGTACAGGTTAAAGTTTTTAAGACTCTTCCAAACAGTTTCAAAGTGTCTGCCACCGTGTATTTCCACCAATAATGTAGGAGAGTTTCTTCCAGCTGCTCTGCTTCCTCACTAGTACTTGGTATTCCGCCCCCTCCATATATAAAAATGCACTTTAGGATCAGGGGTACATGTGCAGAACATACAGGATTGTTGCATAGGTACATACATGGCAATATGGTTTGCTGCCTCCACACTCCTGTCACCTATATCTGGCATTTCTCCCCATGTTATCCCTTCCCAACCTCCCTACCCCTCGCTGTCCCTCCCCTATTCCCCCTAAACAGACCCCAGTGTGTGATGCTCCCCTCCCTGTGTCCATATGTTCTCATTGTTCAATACCTGCCTATGAGTGAGGACATGCAGTGTTTGATTTTCTGATCTTGTGTCAGGTTGCTGAGAATGATGGTTTCCAGGTTCATCCATGTCCCTACAAAGGACACAAACTAATAGTTTTTTTAAGGCTGCATGGTATTCTATGGTGTATATGTGCTACATTTTCCCTGTCCAGTCTATCATCAATGGGCATTTGGGTTGGTTCCAGGTCTTTGATACTGTAAACAGTGCTGCAGTGGACATATGTGTGCATGTGTCTTTATGATACAACGATTTATAATCCTTTGGATATATATCCAGTAATGGGATTGCTGGGTCAAATGGAATTTCTATTTCTAGGTCCTTGAGGAATTGCCACACTGTCTTCCACAATGGTTGAACCAATTTATACTACCACCAACAGTGTAAAAGTGTTCATTTTTCTCTGTGTCCTCTCCAGCATCTGTACATTCTCTACAGCATCTGTTTTCTCCAGATTTTTTAATGATCACCATTCTAACTGGTGTGAGATGGTATCTCAATGTGGTTTTGATTTGCATTTCTCCAATGACCAGTGATGATGAGCATTTTTTCATGTTTGTTGGCCTCATCAATGTCTTCTTTTGAAAAGTGTCTGTTAATGTCCTTTGCCCATTTTTGAATGGGTTTGTTTGTTTTTTTCTTGTATATCTGATTTAGTTCTTTGTAGATTCTGGATATTAGCCCTTTGTCAGATGGGTAGATTGAAAAAATTTTTTCCCATTCTGTTGGTTGCTGGTTTACTGTAATGATTGTTTCCTTGGCTGTCCAGAAGCTGTGGAGTTCAATTAGGTCCCATTTGTCTATTTTGGCTTCTGTTGCCAGTGCTTTCAGTGTTTTAGTCATGAAGTCCTTGCCTATGCCTATGTCCTGAATAATCTTGCCTAGATTTTCTTCTAGGGTTTTTATGGTGTTAGGTCTTATGTTTAAGTCTTTAATCCATCTGGACTAAATTATAGTGTAAGGGGTCCAGGAAGGGGTCAGGAAGGGGTCCAGTGTAAGGGGTCAGGAAGGGGTCCAGTTTCTGCTTTCTGTATACTGCTAGCCAGTTTTTCCAACACCATTGATTAAACAGGGAATCCTTTCCCCCATTGCTTGTTTTTGTCAGGTTTGTCAAAAATCAGAGGGTTGTAGATGTGTGCCGTTGCCTCCAAGGCCTCTGTCCTGTTCCATCGGTCTATATCTCTGTTTTGGTACCAGCACCATGCTGTTTTGATTACTGTAGCCTTGTAGTATTGTTTGAAGTCGTGTAGTGTGATGCCTCCAGCTTTGTTCCTTTTGCTTAGATTTTCTTGGCTATACGGCTCTCTTTTGGTTCCATATGAAGTTTAAGGTGGTTTTTTCCAGTTCAGTGAAGAGGGTCATTGGTAGCTTGATGGGGATAGTGTTGAATCTATAAATTACTTTGGGCAGTATGGCCATTTTCACGATATTGATTCTTCCTAACCATGAGCATGGAATGTTTTTCCATCTGTTTGTGTCCTCTCTTCTTTCCTTGAGCAGTGGTTTGTAGTTCTCCTTAAAGAGGTTCTTTACATCCTTTGTTAGTTGTATTCCTAGGTATTTTATTCTCTTTGTAGCAATTGTGAATAGGTGTTCATTCTCGATTTGGCTCTCTTGAAGTCTGTTATCAGTGTATACAAATGCTTGTGATTTCTGCACATTGAGTTTGCATCTTGAGACTGACAAAGTTGCTTATTAGTTTCAGGAGATTTTGGGCCGAGTCAATGGGATCTTCTAACTATATAATCACGTCGTCTGCAAATAAAGACAATTTTACTTCCTCCTTTCCTAATTGAATAGTCTTTATTTATTTTCTTGCCTGATTGCTCTGGCTAGAACTCCCAATACTATATTGAATAGGAGTGGTGTGAGAGGGCATCCTTGTCTAGTGCCAGATTTCAAAGGGAATGCTTCCAGTTATTGCTCATTCAGTATAATATTGGCTGTGGGTTTGTCCTAAATAGCTTTTATTATTTTGAGATATGTTCTGTCAATACCTAGTTTCTTGAGAGATTTTAGCATAAAGAGCTGTTGAATTTTGTTGAAGGCCTTCTCTGCATCTATTGAGATAATCATGTGGTTTTTGTCTTTGGTTCTGTTTATGTGATGGATTATGTTTATAGACTTGGGTATGTCGAACCAGCCTTGCATCCCAGGGATGAAGCCTACTTGATTGTGATGGATAAGCTTTTTGATGTTCTGTTGCAATCAGTTTGCCAATATTTTATTGAATATTTTTGCATCAATGTTCATCATGGATATTGGTCTGAAGTTTTCTTTTTTGTTGAGTGTCTGCTGGTTTTTGTTATCATGATACATTGGTCTCAGAAAAAGATTTGGTTAGGATTCCCTCTTTTTGTATTGTTTGGAATAGTTTCAGAAGGAGTGGTACCAGCTCCTCTTTGTATGTCTGGTAGAATTTGGCTGTGAACCCATCTGGACCTGGGCTTTTTTTGGTTGGTAGGCAATTAATTGCTGCCTCAACTTCAGCCCTTGTTATTAGTCTATTCAGGGTTTCAATTTCTTCCTGGTTTAGGCTTGGGAGGGTGCAAGTTTCCAGGAATTTATTCATTTCTTCCTGGTTTACTGGTTTATATGCATAGAGTTGTTTGTAGTAATCTCTAATGGTAGTTTGTATTTCTGTGGAATTGGTGGTGATATTCCCTGTATCACTTTTTTATTGAATCTGGTTGATTCTTCTCTCTTTTCTATTTTGTTAATCTGTCTAGCAGTCTGTCTATTTGTTGATCTTTTCAAGAAACCAGCTCCTGGATTTATTAATTTTTTGAAGGGATTTTTGTGTCTCTATCTTCTTCAGTTCTGCTCTGATCCTAGTTGTTTCTTGTCTTCTGCTAGCTTTTTAGTTTTTTTGGTCTTGCTCCTCTCGCTCTTTCAATTTTGATGATAGGGTGTCAATTTTAGATCTTTCCTTGCTTATCATGTGGGCATTTATTGCTGTAAAATTTCCTCTAGATACTGCTTAAATATGTCCCAGAGATTCCGGTACCTTGTGTCTTCGTTCTAGTTGGTTTCAAAGAACATCTTTATTTCTACTTTTATTTCATTGTTTATCCAGTCAACATTCAAGAGCCAGTTGTTCTGTTTCCATGAAGCTCTGTGGTTCTGAGTCAATTTCTTAATCTGAGCTCTATTTGATTGCACTGTGGTCTGAGAGACTGTTTATGATTTCCATTCTTTTGCATTTGCTGAGGAGTGATTTACTTCCGATTATGTGGTCAATTTTAGAGTACGTGTGATGTGGTGCTGAGAAGAATATATATTCTGTGGGTTTGGGGTGGAGAGTTCTGTAGATGTCTATTAGTTTTGTTTGGTTCACACCTGAGTTTAAGTCCTGGATATCCTTGTTAATTTTCTGCCTGGTTGATCTGTCTAATATTGATAGTGGAGTGTTAAAGTCTCCCACTATTATTGTGTGGAAGTCTAAGTCTCTTTGTAGGTTGTTAAGAACTTGTTTTATGTATCTGGGTGCTCTTGTATTGGGTGAATATATATTTAGGATCATTAGCTCTTCTTGTTGCATTGATCCTTTTAACATTATGTAATGTCCTTCTTTGTCTCTTTAGATCTTTTTTCTTCTAAAGTCTATTTATCACAGACTAGGATTGCAACTCCTGCTTTTCTGTGCTCTCCATTTGCTGGGTAAATCCTCCTCCATCCCTTTATTTTGAGCCTATGTGTGTCCTTGCATGTGAGATAGGTTTCCTGGATACAGCACACAGATGGGTTTTGACTTTTTATCCAATTTGCCAGTCTGTGTCTTTTGATTGGGGCATTTAGCCCATTTATATTTAAGGTTAATATTGTTATGTGTGAATTTGATCCTGCCATTTTGATGCTAGCTGGTTGTTTGCCCATTAGTTGATGCAGTTTCTTTATTGTGTCAATGTTCTTTACCATTTGGTATATTTTTGGAGTGGCTGGTACTGGTTGTTCCTTGCTACATTTAGTGCTTCCTTCAGGAGCTGTTGTAAGGCAGGCCCGGTGGTAATAAAATCTCTCAGCAATTGCTTGTTCATAAAGGATTTTATTTCTCCTTCACTTATGGAGCTTAGGCTGGATATGAAATTCTGGGTTGAAAGTTCATTTCTTTAAGAATGTTGAATATTGGCCCCCACTCTCTTCTGGCTTATAGTGTTTCTGCTGAGAGATCCACTGTGACTCTGATGGGTTTCCCTTTGTGGGTAATCCGACCTTTCTCTCTGGCTGCCCTCAGCATTTTTTTCCTTCATTTCATCCCTGGTGAATCTGATGGTTATGTGCCTTGGGGTTGCTCTTCTTGAGGAATATCTTTGTGGTGTTCTGTGTGTTTCCCAGACTTGAATATTGGCCTTGGTAGGTTGGGGAGGTTCTCTTGTATAGTATCCTGAAGAATGTTTTCCAGTTTGGATTAATTCTCTGGGTCAGATTCAGATACACCTATCAAATGTAGATTGGGTCTTTTCACATTATCCCATATATCTTGGAGGCTTTGTTCATTTTTTTTCACTCTTTTTTCTCTAATCTTGCCTTCTCATTTTATTTCATTTAGTTGATCTTCAATCTCTGATATCCTTTCTTCTGCTTGATTGATTTAGCTACTTAAACTTGCATATGCTTAGTGAAGTTCTTGTATTGTGTTTTTCAGCTTCATCAGGTCATTTACATTCTTCTCGAAGCTGTTTATTCTCCTTAGCATTTCATCAAACCTTTTTTTCAAGATTCTTAGTTTCTTTGCATTGGGTTAGAACATGTTCTTTTAGCTCAGAGAAGTTTGTTATTACTCACCTTCTGAAGCCTGTTTCTGTCAATTAATCAGACTCATTCTCCCTCCAGCTTTGTTCCCTTGCTGGTGAGGAGTTGTGATCCTTGGAGGAGGAGAGGCATTCTGGTTTTCATCCTTTTTGCACTGTTTTCTTCCCATCTTCACACATTTATCTACCTGTTTTCTTTGTAGTTGGTGACTTTCAGATGTGTTCTCTAAGTGGATGTCCTTTTTGTTGAGGTTGAATTTATTTCTTTCTGTTTTTCAGTTTTCCTTCTAACAGTCAGTCCCTCTACTGTAGGACTGCTGGAGGCCCACTCCAGACCCTGCTTGCCTGGGGATCACATACAATGGTTGCAGAACAGTAAAAGTTGCTGCCAGTTTCTTTCGTTATCTTCATTCCAGAAGGATACCTGCCAGATGTCAGCCTGAGCTCTCCTTTGTGAGGCATCTCTTTGGATACACAGGGGTCAGGGAGCTGCTTGAGGAGACACTAGGGGCTCAAGTGCTGAGCTGTGAGCTCTGTTGTTTCATTCAGATCTGCTGGGCAGGTATGTTTAAGTCTGCTGCAGGGGAACTCATAACTACCTTTTTTTTTCAGGTGCTCTGTCCTGGGAAGGTGGGGCTTTATTTATAAGTTCCTGATGTGGGTTTTGAAGACACTGCCACCGCCTGGAGCCTTGTAGTATCAGCCATGGTCAATGTTCTTCAACATTGCCATCGACAGTGAGCCCTTGGGCCGCATCTCCTTCAAGCTGTTTGCAGACAAGTTTCCAAAGACAGCAGAAAGCTTTCATGCTCTGAGCACTGGAGAGAAAGGATTTGGTTATAAGGATCCCTGCTTTCACAGAATTATTCCAGGGTTTATGTGTCAGGGTGGTGACTTCACACACCATAATGGCACTGGTGGCAAGTCCATCTATGGGGAGAAATTTGATGATGAGAACTTCATCCTAAAGCATACAGGTCCCAGCATCTTGTCCATGGCAAATGCTGGACCCAACACAAACAGTTCCCAGTTTTTCATCTGCACTATAAAGACTGAGTGGTTGGATGGCAAGCATGTGGTCTTTGGCAAGGTGAAAGAAGGCATGAATATTGTGGAGGCCATGGAGCACTTTGGGTCCAGGAATGGCAAGACCAGCAAGAAGATCACTGTTGCTGACTGTGGACAACTTTAATAAGTTTGACTTGTGTTTTATCTTAACCACCATACCATTCCTTCTGTAGCTCAGGAGAGAACCTTTCCACCCCATTTGCTCTCAGTATCCTAAAATCTGTGCTCTCACTGCAGTTCCCTTTGGGTTCCATGTTTTCCTTGTTCCCTTCCATGCCTAGCTGGATTGCAGAGTTGAGTTAAATTTATGATTATGAAATAAAGACTAAATAACAATTGTCAAAAAAAAAAGTTCCTGATGTGCTGCTGCCTTTTTTCAGAGACACCCTGGCCAGCTAGGAGGTTGCCTAGTCACAGTCTGCCTGCAGAGGTGTTGGCTGAACTGCCATAGACTCTGCCCAGCTGCTGTGTGAACTTCCTTGCAATTTTGTTTATAGAGGTATAGTTATAATGGCCTGGGTAATGGCAGTCTGCCTCAGTAATGGCGGACTGTCTCTGTAATGGCAGCCTGCCCCAGTAGTGGTGGACTGCCTTGGTAGGGGCGGACGCCCTTCCCCCCACAGAGCTGGACTGTCCTGGGTCCAACTGCACTTGCTATAAAACTCTCAGTCTAGAGCATTTCGGATTGTTGGTCTTTGTGGGGGGGAGGACCCACTGAGCCAGATCACCTGGCTCCCTGTTTCAAGCCCCTTTTTTTCAGTTGAATGGGTGGCTCTGTCTACCAGGCATTCCAGGCACCAGTTGAAACAACTTCCCAGATTTGTGTAAGTTTTTGTGTCGAGACCTGCTGCGCCGGCTGATCAGCAGTGCTGGAAACTCATGGCACTTTTCAGCCTGGGAATCTCCTGGTCTGTGGGCAGCAATAACTGGTTTGGAAATGCAGTGATCACTCACCCTCTGCATTGTTCTCGCTGGGAACTACACTCCAGAGCTGTTCCTATTTGGCCATCTTGGATCTGCCTCTGATGTCAGCATATTAATAGCCGGATGTAGATGACTTATCTTGATCTCTGGTCTCATCACTGCTGTCACCATCAACATTGTTACCAAGCATAAGCTGGGCAATGCAAGGCAATTATTTTCTGACCCTTGTAATCTGCATAGTTTGGTTATCTCCTAGATACAATCTCCATAAATACTGTTTTTTGGGTTCTGGAAACTAAAGTGGACAGATGGCATGGGGGACATAACCACCAATTTTACCCAAGTATATAATAGTTCTGAGTATATAAAGAAAGCTTGAGTATTTCTTGTAGTCAGCATGACATTTTGCTCATAAGTTTCCAACATAAGGTAAATTTTGAAACAGAAAGGTGAGGAAAATAAAGCTTTAGGACTGTTTTCAGCCTGGTATTTTTGAGGAACAAGGGACAGAGTCTGGTCATCATTCCAATTTGCATCTTTGGATTATCATAATCGACTATGTCCCAGATGGATATTAGCGTATTGGTAGGGCACGGGCAGCTAAGTGGGCAAAATTTTTAAAAAGCTACTGGATTGGCTTGAACCATTTCCTTAAAATGGCAGATTAGTTTTACAAGTGGTGTTTTTAATACAGCTTCATTGCAAAGCAGATTTGTGTAATTTGGCCACCTGCTATAAACATCAATTTTAATCAATCACATATATCTTTGCCAATATAGTTTATCAGTGGTAAATGTTTAAAGATTTTGAAATAAATTTCATGATAAAATTAAGCAGCCATCTGGAATTATAATATAGATTTTTTTCTAAATGGTTTGCAAGTCATAAATTCTACATACTGTATATAGAGAATACACACAGTAAGTGTATGTTCATTTTGTCCCTGTTTACAATATTATTTTTGAGGATATTTTATTGTGAATAATACAGAAAATTTACCTTCTGAACAGGTCCTATCAACAGTTACAGACAGAAAAACATTTGAGCTCTGCCAGTCTAGACCTGTGTGTTTAGATAGTGAGTCCAGCTATTCTTGCCATAACTGCTTAGTGATTATGATTCAATCTCTGCAGCTTTTCAGTCAGTGTGAAATTATTGTAAAAAACAAAATCTGCCTTCTGATATATATTTCAAGTGATACTGCTTTAATAATGTACCCCGAATCCAAGTATAATTTATAAGAAAAATGTTGTATTATCCTGCATATGCAAGTTAGATATCCTCCCCATCAGAGTAGTAACTTCCCAAACTGTTTAGGAAAGATACAGCCAAAGACTTTGCATAATGATTATATTGCAATCTGGATTTGTGAAATCAAAGGTCTTGGATATCTAAATTAGTAGGAATAACACAACCCCTCAATCCACTTATTTCAGTACATGGCTTATTTTAGGTTTTCTTTTCTTAGGCTTGTTTTGGAATAATTGATTTATTCATTACTAGTAGTAAGGAATGTGGGGATTTTTACCTCTTATTTTATACCCCTTTTAATACTTCTTTTATGGCTCATTTTAACATGCCACCTGTGGGGGTTTCTCCTTAACATATCTAGTATTCTTCCAGCTAAAAACATATTTTATTAGTATTATGGCTTATCTTACCATTATTCAAAATCACAGGTCTTGAAAAAAAGGCTGGATGCAAATGTAAAATGTAAAAAAGAACAAAAATACACTTTAAAAAAGGTTTTGGATTACCAATATAATGTTCATTATTAGCACTTTTAAATTAAATTATTTTAAAGCCAATAGGGATGAAATCCTCTACTTTTGATTTCTGTGTCATTATTACAAATACTGTATATGGGATATATCCTACTTTATAGGGATTAGCTGTAAACATGCAAAGAAAACAAGAATCATATAACCAGTCTTATGGTATTTAAGATTTCATCTAAAATCAAAATATTTTATATATTTGGTGTGTATCCTTAGGTTATCACTTTATATAGAAAGATGTGGAAGTCTTCAATACTTAACAAAACACATATAATAGGCTGGATATTTACCTATATAATCTGATATAAAACTCCTATGAGGTAACTAGGGCTGACTCTAGATAACAAATCATCATCAATGTACCACAGGATGTCTCATGTAAGTGATATTTGCGACACAACTTGATGTGTGGTATAATATTCACAGTTAGGAATAAGCATATGTTTGGAAATATACAGGAGGAAGCAACTCACTCTTCCTTGAATAGTAATGATTTCACAGAGAAATTGATATTTATACTGGGCCACGAGGAATGTATAGGAATTTATCTGGTCAAAGTTGGAGGTGAAGAATATTCCAATAAAGAGTATGAAATAATATAGTCAGTTAAGGGAAAGCCAAGAAATTGAAGTTCATAAGATTGGGAAAGTAAACAAGATGGTGAAGAAGTGGAATAAGGGGCTTCAAATTCATCTAAGGTCAGATTATGAAGGGCATCATTGCCAAGATAAGGAAATATTCTGCAGGCATGCAGAGCTAGCCAGTATTTTTAAAGCAAGAAGACTGACATCAATTTATAAACTTTTATAAAGAGATTATCAAGTCATATTGTGGAGGTTCTACCAAACAGGAACAGATTGATAGCAGTGCCAATTACACAAAAATGGTACTAATCTATTATTTTATTTTTAGCAGAAAATGAAGCCGTGGGTTTTTCTAGGAAGAGTTCTCTTATATGTAACTAATCAGCATTGGTTTACTGCTAGATTACAATAAAATATATAAAGATTAGATAACATTGTTTATACTTAATTTTTTGCATTTTTTTAATTTTCAACAAGACAGTTTATCATCATGATTGAATATATCTTCATTCTTGTTTCTTCACATTTTTTAAAATAATTTTTTTCATATGTCCAAGTTACTATTAATCATCCATGTGGTTGAAAGAGGCCATGAGGTTGATAAATGAACTCCATTGTAGCTAAAACAACTGTTTTTAAAAATAAATATGTCTTCTCTATCAAGATTTTGAAGACATCTAAAAGCAAAAGCAATGGATCTGTTTTACCTTCCTTCCCTGACACTTCCTCCAAGGCAAACACAATGTAAATTGTTAGAAAAATATTCAAAAGGCAGCTGACTGAAAAGAAAAGGTGAAGAAAATACATAAATGAGGAGCACACCAAAAGACAATTTAATTCTTGTACAAAGCAAGTTGAAAAGACAAAACATCATTGACTTTGGAAAGTAGGAACTCTTGCTATGAAGATTATTACTGTTATAAACAATGTCTTTATTTTTTATTCTGTCTTGTTTATACTATTCAAAATCTCTACTGTGATAGATTATGAAACAGAATATTCTTGTGCCTGAAATTGATGGTCCATGTCAAATATTGTTTGATGGTTTTGACTTGATTTGACAAGTCAGGTAAATCAAAACAATCAGGGCTCTATACCATGTCTAGTGCAATTAAACTGTCAAAATTTAGATGTTTTGTAATAGCAAGGCATATTAATTGTTTGCTGCAAGGAGTTCGAAGTCCTTAGCTGTCCTTCCAGTATGGAAAATGTTAATTTTAGTGAATGTGTAAAGGAATAGTTGGATTAACTTTTGAGCAAAGCAATTTATTTCCTTACTTAATGCAAGACTAGTACTAATGATTCTGGTAACAATTGTCATAAAGATGATTCATATTTTTCTATGTGGCTTTATAAATGCACCATCTAGCATAAGATAGAAGATTCTAGTTTAATTGCTAACATTTATCTTTTTGGGTCTCATTTTCTCCCTGGAGTAACACTTCTAAAAATGATTTAAAAAAATCATTACTTAAAAGATTGGGCTTTAAAATTGGAATTCAAGGTTATTAGATAAAAATTTCTGTGGGGGAGGAAAGCACATGTATTATCCCGTTATATGTTATTTTGTCTGTTAAGCCATAGATATAATTAAAGGGTTAATTGTTATAATTGTCTTTGGAGGTCTAAGTTTAGATTGAATAAGCAATTGAAACTTTCTCTTTTAAATGTAAAAAAGTAAATGTAAAAAATTTGCTTTACAGTTATCCTTTTAAATAAGCGCTTACATGAGAGTTCTTTTCTGTCATTCTCCATCTCTTGCCCTCTGCCTCCTCCAACCTCCATTTCTTCCTTTTTGCCTCTTTTCCCTCCATAAATATTTACTGAGAGATTACTGAATGAATATAAAATGTATTAATGTAGTGATGAATACATTGCCATACAAACAAATGCAAAACTTTCTTAGATGAAAAACGCTGTTAAAATTAGTTTCGAGCAATATTTAAAGAAGGGAAGGGCCGGACTATTGGGGGAAAGACATCATGAGTGGGCAGTAACTACATCAGGACAAAATTGACCATGCAGGAGCAAGTCTATAAGTCCAGTTACGTAGAAGGAGTCTTAGAGGCACTGTAGGACTGGTGGGCAAGAAGTAATGTTCAAGCTAGCAGAGAGGGAAATTCTATTAGATGACAGCACAGCTCGAGTAAGGAAATAATAAACAAAACTAAAGTTCTATATGGCCTTTTAGCAAGCCCTCATGAGGGAAAATCACATGGTACAAAAAAGGGCATTGGCAATAAGGAAAAGGGAGGCACAAGCAATATTGGGCTATCAAAGAGGATAGATTCATTTTAGGAGAAATCAAGTCACTTTGGCTTCAGCAGGGAACATTGGTTGGTCCATAGTGTGGATAGGCAAACAGGGTGAACCTTTGTGAAAAATATTAATTTAAATGGATTGGTTGACTGCTATTGCTGTTGTTGTTTTGTGGAGAGATTATGGCTATCATGCAATTAAAATAGTATCTAAGGAGGACAATTTCAGAAAACATAGTGATTAAGAGCATGTACTTTAGAGTTGGACTGCCTGAATTCAAATCCTAGTTTCACTGTTTACAGACTGTGACTTTGGGCAAATTATTCAACCTCTTTTTACCTCAGTGTTCTCATATTTAAAATGGGGAAAATAATAGCACATACCTCCAAAGATTGCCATAAACATTAATTGAAATATTTGTAAAGTGCTTAGAATAATACCTGGCCAATAGTAAATGGTTGTTAAGTATATACATATATATGCGTGTATGTGTGTTGTGTGTGTAAGAAAGTCCGTCTGCTTGAGTAGTTCATGACAGAAATAATAAATACTACCGTTTTAGGGGAGAAAAAGGCAAAAGTATAATAATGTTTGAATCTGAAGTAAAGCTTGCAGTATGTAAATGATGGAGTGGATCTAGAGTTTATTTCTTCTACTTTTACAAGGCCATTCTAGCATGTTCTTGCTCAAACATGCTAAATTAGCCTAGAAGTGTTCTTAGCTCGGCCACGTAAGTATTAACAGGATCTAAAGTTTCAGATTACTACTCGATGGAACAAGGACTATTGAGATTCCAAAATCTTTAGAGTCAGCAAAATTAGACCAAGCTTCTCTTTCTAGGAGTCTTGAGAATATTCGGTGCTAGAAACCTTGATACTTCTGTGAACACCATATTGCATAGTCTACATAAATCCAGACTCCAAACAAACATGTCAAACACAAGACCTAAAAGGATTTTAGAGCTGTTTCAGAGGCTATTACCTGTATTTACCTCATTAATGAATTGCTCGTCCTTGTGATTTGTGAAATTTTCTGTGGGTGGCACATGGGACTTTTTGACATTTGCAAGTCTCATTCAAATATTTTAGTCTGCGATGTATCCATTTGGAGAGTCCTAAAAATATGAAGATATTTTGTAGAAATTTGAGAATGATGCTGATTAAGAAATGGTTAATTGCCTGGTTGAGAGGTTGATTCAGATTTTCTGTTATTCTAGGGAGAGGTTCTATTGATGACAAAAATGTAAATTTCTTTCTATGTCATGTTGTTCAGTCTGTGGAGAGTAGCAAAGAATTATTCTTTACAGTATGTTTTCTAATGATTTGTCCAAACTGATTTTGTATTCCAGAGTCACATACTGCTCTTGGGTGTTTCTCCCCACATTTCCCTTCAGTGGATTATTTATACTTTTAACAAAATGATGAATGGGTCTTTGTATATTCTAAATGTGTTTGCTTTCTCTGGAGAATCTGAGTGAAACAAGTACATTCTTGCAGAAGAATCCTAATATGGTTACCTATTCCTTTGAAATTGGTTTTATCTTTGATTCTGAGAATTCTCTACAAATTGAATGCTGTATATTAAAAAGCTACAATATTTCATATTTTTAATAGCAGAGATAAAATTGTAGAAACAAGTTACAATAGAGAAAGGATTTGAGGTTTTTTTCTGGAGAGCAGTATTTCATACCATAAAATAAATCCACTTAGGGATTTATAGAATATTTTCTCTACATATTACTATGAAACTTTTAAGACATAAACTTTTTATACTCTTTCCTGGAAATCCTTTCTCTCTGTTGCCCTTCTCTATACCCCTCCCCATTATTATACTTTGATACTTAAGCATTTCACTGCAATTTTGACCTAAGAGATGTATCTGTTTGTTTCCATAGAGTAACATGTTTATTTTAGAGAAGAAAGAATATGGCAAAGTAAAGATATAGAGCAACTGAGACACAAAATTCTGCAGAGACTTGCTTCATTTTTTCCTTCCTATTTAATCAAAGTACTATCAAAAGTTCTATATAAATTTCTCAAATTAGAATGTAGGAAATATCATTCAGAGATATAAAAAATATAATTATGAACATATGCATAGGTAATAGTACAGAATGTTGCATGAGCTGAAAATGTATATAAGCTTAGCAGTCATTGACTGTACTGAAAATTATTTCTAAGATGGACTTCAATAAACTACAGATGTTTAAGTTTTTTAAAATTGGAAGCTCAGATCAAGGCACTGTGTTACTTATATGGGGATGTATGCATATGCATGACTTGGTCCATACTTTCCAGAAATTTATATTTTAGTTGAAGAGGAAAGAAGTAGATACCATGAAGATACAATCTACTTTGGGTGTGGCACAGATTTTTCTGTAACTCAGAAGAATAAAGGCATTTTTTTTTATTGCAGTAGTTTGTGGGAAACAAGTGGTGTTTGGTTACAGAGACAAGTTCTTCAGTGGTGATTTCTGAGATTTTGGTGCACTCATCAAAATCAGTGTACACTGTATTTGATGTATAGCCTTTTATCACTCACCACTCTGCCACTTTTCCCCCTGAATCCCCCAAAGTCCATTGTTACCATTCTTGTGATGCCATTGCATTCTCATAGCTTAGCTCCCACATATAAGTGAGAACATAGGATGTTTGGTTTTCTATTCCTCAGTTACTTCAGTTAGAATAATGGTCTCCAACTCTATCCATGCTGCTGCAAATGCCATTATTTTGTTCCTTTTTATGGCTGAATAGTATTCCATGGTATATATATGTATATACCACATTTTCTTTATCTACCTGTTGATTGATGCTATTTGGGTTGGTTCCATAATTTCAGAATTGCAAATTGTGCTGCCCTAAACATGCACGTGCAAGTGTCTTTTTCATATAATGACTCCTTTTCCTCTGGGTAATACCTAGTATTGTGATTGCTGGATCAAATGGTAGGTCTACTTTTAGTTCTTTAAGGAATCTTCATACTGTTTTCCATAGTGACTGTACTAGTTTACATTCCCTCTAGCAATGTAAAAGTGTTTCATTTAAAAAAAATTTTAGTTATGGCGGCCAACATCCATTTTTTAAATTTTTTAATTATGGCCATTTTTGTCCGAGTAAGGTGGTATCTTGTGGTTTGAATTTGCATTTCCCTGATAATTAATCTTGTTGACCATGACCTATTTTGGGTAAACGTTTGGTTTTGGGAAGTGCTTTGGAGCTTCTGAGTCCAGCCACTGAGCTCGTCATCTATGGTTGTATAAAATCCATTTTCATTGTATGTCACAATTTGATCAAGTAATGGCTTGATGTTTTTTGTGTTGAATGAGAGACTGACACCTCAAAACAACATTTAAAAAAAATTTTCACGCAGCTCATGAGGCACCTACTTATCAAGCCTTTTCACCTATCCAATTTGCTTCAATTACCAAATGACCATAGAATGGTCAACATTGAGTCCTTCTGCAACTTCTTGTGTAGTTGTAGGTTGATTAGCTTCAATGATGGCACTCAGTTAGTCATTGTCAACTTCCGATGGCTGGCCACTACACTCCTCATCTTCAACACTCCTGCCTCCTTTGTAAAACTTATTGAGCTGCCACTGCACCATATGTTCATTAGCAGTTCCTGGGCCCAATGTATTGTTGATGCTGTGAGTAGTCTCTGCTACTTTATGACCCATTTTGCACTCAAATAAGAAAATTGCTTGAATTTGCTTTTTGTCTAACATCACTTCCATAGTCTAAAATAAATTGTAAGTAAGTCATTAGCAAAAAAACACAAGGCAAGAAATGCTTATGAAAATGATGCATAACATAACCACATTTATTTAAGAACATATTCCAATATCAAATGGCAAATTTCAACAATGCAAAAACCACAATTACATTTGCACCAACCTAATAACTGTGAAATATACTTTGCTCTAGGTTGTTTCTGTCAATGCAGCTGACTAGTTACAGTCATACTAGGCACTGGGAATTCCACGGAAGGTGCAACAGTTCACACAGATCACCAGTCCTACACTCTGCTTGGTGTAAATTTATATGCATTTCAAAATTTTAAATTAAAAAATATTTATTAAGTACTTTTTATATTCAAGGGGACTGTAAAGGGCAATGAAAATAATTTTCTAGAAGAGTAGAAAGCAGAATTTGTCTCCAAAAAATTAACAATCCGTCTAGGAAAGCAATCATACTGAAAAGTCAAACCAAACAAATCAAAGTTTTAATGAAGCATAGTTAAAGAAACTCAGAAAAAAAGATGTCTAATTCTGTTTGGGGGTGTCTGGTAAGCTATGACCAGAGGAGTAAATCTCAGGATAAGTCCCAAAGATAGACCAAGTAGGAAAGGGCATTTTAGGCAGAGGAAACTGAATAGGCAGATACACCAAAGTGGTGCAGAGAATCCTAAGGAAATTGTAAACTAAATAGTAGAGTGCTGATGGAGTTGTCAAAGGCATGACCCCAGAGTGTGGCAAAGGCCAGCTCGTGTGAAATGTCTGGCACATTAGCCTGAGGTAAAGTGTTTTGAAGTGTAGTCCTTTGAGTCCTATAATGGTAGAAGAAATAATGTTGTCATAATCCCTAAACATATTATGTCAAGACATAGCACAAATCTATGAAGTGTTATGAAACAGGATGTTGCAGTCTAATGTTAAGCAAGTGGTCATTTTTCATGGTGAATCTAGATTCCCTGGGGTGAAGAAGAGTCAGAGCATAAATAGATACAGAAAGTTTAATGAGCTTTGAAAGGCAATCTTTATCAAGTCAGAGTGTAGAAGAGTCACAAAATGAATAACACAAATGTATTAATTTATCTAATAAATATTTATGAATTGCCTTTAATGTATCCCTGTAGGAGACGAGAGTCTTGCTCTTGAGAATTTCATAGTGTACCACAAACATTAAGATCTTTGAGTCTTAAGAAGAACCAAAGTAATAGAATTGGCTAGATGATGCTGTGGCTACTTCTGACCCCCCAGGTGTCCTGAGTGAATAATATTGCTGATCTGGCAAGAGTGGGAAGTTTAATGAACAATTGCATTTCTTAATGTGCTTGTAAGTGTTTCTTTTGTGAACTGAATGTTAGCCTATTTATAAGACATGCCATAAAGTGATCTAGTAAGAACTCTTTAAGCTCATGCTACAAACTTGGGGTTGTGAAAAATAAAGCAAATAAGTTAGTATTTTTCATATATAATGAAAGGATAAAAGTTGTGGATGAGTAGAACAAAGAGATAGGTTTAGCAATCATAATACACAAAGTCATTTGGTGGGCTGTATCCAAACGTTCACTGATTTTTTTTTCATGTTTTGTCCTAGGACCTTGAGACTCAGGTGAATCTGGTTTCCTCCCCAACCTCAGGGGTGAAGCTTGATTAGTCCAGGCCAGTTATGGTAATTCCATACCTGTGTCAAGTGACTCATTCTGGTATGGACATAGGATGACAGAATTTTGACAAGATGTGAAGGGAAATCAGTGGAGTAGCTTCTGAGATAGTTTTAGCCATTCTTACTTAGGATAGAAAGATGGGAAAATGCCCTGTCTTTATTCTGACTTTTCAGTATTACTGCGTGAGGATGTGCTATTTGAAGCTGTCGCAGCCATCTTGCTATCATGAAGGGCCAGAGGACATATTTCTACTTTCTAATGATGGCAGTATGGAAGGGATGAAAGGAAGAAAGTTATTTTTGATACAATGAACAGAGGAATTAACCAGCTAACCATTCTTGCCCTGCCATGACTCTAAATTCTTATGTAACATAGAAAATGTATTTACAAAAGCTGATTTTGTTTTAATTGTTTTTCTTTTCCTTGGAGTTGAAAGCATTCTGGGGAGGGAGATGTTTTTTCTATCCTATTATTTTTAGCACCTGGAAGCCTGCAAATTAAACAACAACAACAAAACTCCAGATCTATAGGTGTAAGTGTATACACTTCTTAAAATTTTATTGAAGTATGATTGACATACAAAAAATCTGTACATATTTAATGTATGCAACTTTATGATTTTGAAGATAAGTATACATCCATGAAGCTATCACTACAGTCTATGCCATAAACCTACTCATTACATACAAGAGTTTACTTCTGACTTATCTATTATTCTTATTATTTCATATGATACAAAAAAGAAAATAATTTAAAATGTCACCATAAAGAAGCATCAAAACACAAAGATGGACAACATGAGATGAAGAAAGGAACACAATAACTGCAAAATATTCATTAAAAACACTTAACAGGAGGGAACAATCCAAGATGGCTGATCGCTAACATCTCGGGATTGCAGCTCCCAGTGAAAGCTCAGAGAACGAGAGGATGCCACACTTTCAGACAAATTTTCGTTGCTCACAGAGCAGAAGATTCCCAGTGGAGGAGCTCCACGGGTCGCCAGCACAACTATTGTGGCCGGCACAGCGGTTTCGCCGGCACCTCGGTGCGGCAGCTCTCGGTGCAGAGTAAACGGGACTGGTTCCCCTTCTGACCGAGGTTTGGAGGAGCCACATGGGTCACCAGCACGACTCTTGTGGCTGGCGCAGTGGTTGTGCTGGCACCTCAGCATGGCAGCTCTTGGTGCAGAGTAAACGGGACTTGGTCCCCTTCTGACCGAGGTTTGAAGCTCCAGGAAGGCAGAGTCGCCTACTACAAACTCAAGAAGGAAGCCAGACGGGAGATTCCCACGCAGAAAAGCACCATCAGTCTTAACGCCGCTGTTTTGGCCGGCAGTGGGTTGCTCATATTTTGGCCCAGGGAATTAACAACTTGGGCATCCACTCAGAGACCTAATTTGACAGTTGGTAATTACAAAGATGACAGGTGGATAAATTTACAATGATGGGAAGAAACCAGTGTAAAAAGGCTGAGAATGCTCAAAATCAGAATGCCTCTCCCTCTAAAGAGGATCACAGTTCCTCATCAACAAGGGAACAAGGCTTGATGGAGAACAAGCGCATCCCATTAACAGAATCAGGCTTCAGAAGATGGATAATAAGAAACTTCCGTGAGTTAAAAGAACATGTTGTAGCCCAATGTAAAGAAACTAAAAACTTTGAAAAAAGGTTTGATGAAATCCTAATGAGAATAGACAACTTAGAGAGGAATATAAGTGAATTAATGGAACTGAAGAATACAATACAGGAACTCCGAGAAGTATGCACAGTTTTAAACACTCGAATTGTTCAAGCAGAAGAAAGGATATCAGAGGTCAAAGTCCAACTTAATGAAATAAAATGAGAAGACAAGTTTAGAGAAAAAAGGATAAAAAGGAATGAGCAAAGTCTCCAAGAAATGTGGGACTATGTGAAAAGACCAAATTTACGTTTAATAGGTGTACCTGAATATGACAAAGAGAATGAATCTAAGCTGGAAAATATTCTTCAGGATATTATTCAGGAAAATTTTCCTAAAGTAGCAAAGCAGGACAATATTCAACCCCAGGTAATATGGAGAACACCACAAAGATATTCCTCAAGAAGAGCAACCCCAAGGCACATAATCGTTAGATTCACCAGGGTTGAAATGAAGGAGAAAATACTAAGGGCAGCCATAGAGAAAGGTCAGGTTACCCACAAAGGGAAGCCTATCAGACTTACAGCAGATCTCTCAGCAGAAACTCTACAAGCCAGAAGAGAGTGGGGGCCAATATTCAACATCCTTAAAGAACAGAACTTTCAGCCCAGAATTTTATATCCAGCCAAACTAAGCCTCACAACTGAAAGAAAAATAAAATCTTTTATGAACAAGCAAGTACTCAGAGATTTTATTACCACCAGGCCTCGTCTACAAGAGCTTCTGAAAGAAGCATTACACATAGAAAGAACCAACCAGTATTAGCCTTTCTAAAGATATACCAAAAAGTAAAGAGCATCAACATAAAGAAGAATTTACATTAACGAATGGATAAAACAGCCAGTTAACATCAAATGGCAATAATCCTAAATTTAAATCAACTAAATCCCCCAATCAAAAGATATAGCCAAAACCCAACGGCACATTACATCCAGACCCATTTCACATGCAAGGATACACAAAGACTCAAAACAAAGGGATGGAGAAAGATTTACCAACCAAATGGAGAGCAATAATAAATAAATAAATAAATAAAAAGCAGGAGTTGCAATTCTTGTATCTGATAAAATAGATTTTAAAGCAACAAAGATATAGTGGTAATAGGATCAATGCAACAACAAGAGCTAACGATCCTAACACCCAGATACATAGAGACTTAGACTTAATGAGACAGAAAATTAATAAGGATATCAAGGACTCAAACTCAGATCCAGAACAAGTAAACTTAATAAATATTTATAGAGCTCTCCACTTTAAATACACAAAATATACATTCTTGTCAATACCACATCACACCTACTCATAGGATTAAATGAAACATTGATTGGCCATTATTAATACCCATTTTTTTTTAGAATAAAGCAACATTTCACTTCTCTCTCCATCTTTTTCTTCCTCTTTCTTCCTCTCCTTCACCCCCTTTTTTTCTTTCCTTCTCTCAAAAAAAGAAAAAAAGAAATCAACTTGTAGACCTCTAGATCCAGGTCAGCAATGTCTCTCTCATTGCTTGAATTCCTTCCTTCCCTTCTCTCCCTCCCTCCCTCCCTCCCTCCTTTCCTCCCTTCCTGCCTTCCTCCCTTCCTAAAAAATGAAAAAAATTAAAAATAAATAAATAAATAAATAAATAAATAAATAAAAAACACTTAACAAAATGGGAATAGTAAGTCCTTACCTAACGATAATGTAATGCAAGTGGATGAAACACACGAATAAAAAGACACAGAGTGGCTGAATGGGTTAGAAAATAAAACCAGGATGCAACCATATGTGGTCTCCTTTCTCTTTTCTGTATCTGTTACAAGTTTTTTCTTTGTGGTTATAATGAGGCTTGTATAAAACTATTATTATAACAGTCCATTTTGACTAATGACAACTTCAACTGCATACAAGAACTATACTTTTATTCCCCTGCACCACTTTAGCTTATTAATGTCAGAATTAATTTATCATTATCCACTTTTCTGTTATGGTTTCTCTCAATATTTTGCCTTTTAAGCTCTACACTAGGGTTAAGGGTGATTTATCCACCATCATTACTATTTTACATTATTCTGCATTTGTGTATATATTTACCTTTACCATTGAAAGTTATGTTTTCATTTTACTGTTTAGTGTCCTTTAATTTCAATTTGAGAACTCCTTTTAGCACTTCTTGCATGGTAGGTCTAATGGTGAGAAACTTCCTTAGTTTTGGTTTGTCTGGGAAAGCCTTTAAGTCTTCTTCATTATTAGAGGAAAGATTTTCCAGCTATATTATTATTGGTTAGCAGTTTCTTTCTTTCAGCACTTTCAATATATATCATCCTATTATCTCCTAGCCTGGAAGGTTTCTGCTGAAAAAGATCATTAATAGTTTCATAGAGATCCTTCCTATGTGATGAGTCACATTTCTCTTGCAGCTTTTAAGCTTCTCTCTTTGACCTTAGCAATTTAGTGATAACATGTCTTGGTGTAGACCTCTTTAGCCTTTAAGTTCCCCTTGGAGTTTTGAGGACTTCATAAATCCAGATGTTCATTTTTCTTTTCAGATTTAGGTAATTTTTATCCATTATTTCTTTAAATAAAGATTCTGCCCCTTTATCTTTCACTTTTTTTCCTAAGGCACTTATAAGATAAATGTAATTTTTTTCCTGATGCATCCATAAGGTAAATATTGATTTTGTAGGATGGCGTTCCATAAGTCCTGTAGGCTTTCTTCACTTTTTTCATTTTTTATCTTTTCTTTTCTCAGAATTGACAATTTTAAATAACCTGTAGTAGAGCTAATAAATTCATTTTTCTTCATGATAGTCTGCTGTTGAAATTCTATACAAATTTTGAATTCAGTTATTTTCTTTGGCTATAGAATATCTGTTTTGTTCTCTTTTATGATTTCTATCTCTGTTCTGTTTTATGATTTCTATCTCTGAGGAACTTCTTATTTTGCTCATGTATCATTTTCCTGATTTGTTTGTCTATCTGTGTTCTCTTGTGGCTCACTGAGCTTAAGATGATTATTTTGATTTCTTATCAGGCAGTTCATAGATCTCTGTTTCTTTACTGTTGATTACTGGCATTTTGTTTTGTTCCTTTGGTGGTGTCGTGTTTCCCTGATTCTTTGTGGACTTTAGGCCTTGCATTTATGTCCCTTCATTTGAAGACATCATTTGTTCCAGTCTTTACAGACTAATCAGTCCAGTCAGAGATTTTGGGTGGGCTGGTTGGTTGGTTGGGGGCAGGACTGCTGTTGATATCTTTGGGAAGGTAGGCCTGTAACCTGGGTTTCTGGGAGCAGGCCTGGTTCTGGTTTCTACTGAGGTAGGTCTGGTCTTCGGGTCATGATAAGGTCTAATATACACTTTCCTCTCCCTTTCTTCTACAGGCAAACTCCTGGCCCTGTAAGATCTATTCCAGCACTTCATTAAGTGGGCTAGGGAAACACTGATGTGGAAGTGAAACCATCCTTTCTACTCTGCTTATTGTGTGTTTTCTAATTTCTGTGCTCTATTTGTGTGCTGCAGCCTTTTGCCCACATTCCAGAGTTCTTATAAAGATATTTTGTCCATGGATGTTTGTTACACTTGTTTCTGTGGGATGACAAGGGCTGGAACCATCTATTCCACCATATTGCTGATGTCATTTCCCCATTTGTTGCTTTATTGATATTAATATTGTATATGCTTGAGGCCTCAGAAAAAGAAGTGAAAACCCCAAAAGGTAGTTAGACACAGGGGCATATATACCACTTTAATGAAAGGCAATGCATTGCAGAGAAGAAATCAGCAATTAAAAAAGGGATTTGGGCTCCTAGAAGCAGTAGATTGTGAAAATGTGATGAGCATTGTGACATTTTAGTATGGTTTGTCATACAGATACGAGTTGTTTACCTCTTCCAGGTACAGGAGAGGAGAACAACTTTGAAAATGGAGATTTATGTCACTATTATGAAGAAAAATTTATGCTCTGATTTTAGGCAGAAAGTTGCCACCAGAGAATTGTTCCTGCTGCTTCTCAATTTCCTTCAGCTCAAAATCATCCTTATGCCAATATGGAATATTTTTGAGGTTGTATATTTTGGTCCTCTTCAGCATCCTTCCTGGTACGTCAATTGCCCTACTCTTGTGTTCTCAGAAATTGGGCTTGAGCCTTTTGTTCAGGCTTATGGGTACATTTTGTACTCTCTAGGAGCTAAAGCAGATGGTAAGGTAGTTTTTAGCTAAGATATTTTTGCAAATCATAATTTTTATGTCTATAGTAAAACCAAATTTTAAGTGTCATTACAGCAAATCTGAAGTGGATGAATGAGTTGAAAATTTTTTTAAAAATTAAAATAGTTTTTAAAAAATTGACATGTAGGTTCTAAACTAAGATTTATTAGCTAACAATTAAGACATCTTTCTTATTTTTATAGCTGCTGAGAGTAAAAATATGAAGACCTAAAGCAAGTAATTGAAATAAAAAATAATGGATTGGGCAGGCAGCTATTCTTTAGATGTAAACAAAAGCAGTCTGTCTTGGATTTAAAGGGATCGGGTTATCCCTCGCCCTTCCTTCAGCTAGATATATAAGAAAAACAAAGTTTAACCCTTAATAAATAAAGCCTGCAAGTAAGGAAATTCAGAAATTTGTATCATATGACCAAGAAAATGTCTTTTTATATCACTATTGATATCATTTGTGTAGGGGTTTGAATGGCATTTAAGAACCTCTTGGTTGTATGAAATTGAATTTCAGTGAACCTAGGCTGTTATTTTGTGAAGTATCTGACTTAGCATTTTTTAAGGCAGATATCATTTTAATTAGTGTATCTGAAGGTCGAGTGGATAGCTTTACTCTTTTTAAGTAGTGATTTTCTTCACAAACTTCAGTTCTGTGTCATATATTACTGACCTTTACAATGTCTCTGTGTTACTGCTGTGTTCCCTTCTTAAATTGGGAGAACTTTATTCCTGATTGAGAAGCAAGAACCAAAAATGTCACTATTCCCTTTGAGGTATGGAGGAAATCTTTTGGAAATGTTCTGTCTCTAGTTTCATGATGTGTAACTTATATTTGTACAGAATGTTAGGTCAAAATTCTTTTTACCAGTGACATTTCTCATGTTCAGATGTAAGGGCTTGATGCTCATGTAGATACAGGAGGTGAAGCTCACAACAAGTCTCCACTTGTTTTAGGGAATTCAGTATTCAGCCGAGAGCAATTACAGGCAATATTAATATGTTGGCAAGAAATGTCGAAGTTCAAATGACCAGTCTGGGTGTTCACTTTTTCCTTTACTTGCTCTGTAATCATAGCTTCAGAAGGTTCTCTTTTTTTTTTTTTTTTTTTTGAGACAGAGTTTCTCTCTTGTTACCTAGGCTAGAGTGCAATGGCGCAATCTCGGCTCATCGCAACCTCTGCCTCCTGGATTCAGGCAATTCTCCTGCCTCAGCCTCCCGAGTAGCTGGGATTACAGGCACGCACCACCATGCCCAGCTAATTTTTGTATTTTTAGTAGAGACAGGGTTTCACCATGTTGACCAGGATGGTCTCGATGTCTTGACCTCGTGATCCACCCGCCTCGGCCTCCGGAAGGTTCTCTTTTTAAGAAAAGCTGTGACCTCACCTGAATGCAGAGGGGGAAGTAATGTTTCTTATCATGTGTGACATGGCCTCTGGTCAGGTGAAAATTATTCACTCTCTTGGAAAATGTCTTCAGTACAGGAAATGATGTCCTGAAATTCATTAAGGATTTACTGTGTGGTTGGATTGTCTATATGAAGTGATCACAGAACTTTGAATATCATTCTATTAATAACAGCTTCCTAGGCTGCACGGAGAAAAACTTCATTTTCTCAAATATTTATTGGGTACCACCACAGGACATGGGCCTGTACTAAGTTATTGATGTCTATAGATAATTAAGGATATATAGACTAGTAGAAGGAAATAGATCATACATGCAGAGATACCTACACATAATGAGCAGCAGTTGATGTATTTGAGGTACAATTAGATGCAGGTAATACAGTTATAGCTGAGGTGCCAGGGACAGAAGTTAGATACAATTTGATGAAATAAAAATCATCCAAGTAACAACTATTCATTGAACATCTTTAATGTGCCAGGGATCATGCGTTGTACAAGAGTTATGATGTTGAACAAAATAGACTTTTGGAGTTTATTCTTGAATGGTAATGTATTAATTAAAAGGTCTCATTAATGTTTAATTGCAAACTAGATTAAGTATTGTGGTTGAAGTGTACAGATGGGTGAGGGGTGGACTATATCTAGGATAAAGAATTTAACCTCTATATTTTTTTAATTAACTGGGAAACCAGGAGGTGTGTTCTATACTTAGGATGAGGTGTGTGGCCTTTTGTACTTCAATTTCATCATCTTCAAAACCAGGAGGAGCTATATTCATTTTACCTTACAAAGCAAATTAACATAAATGAAGGAACCTTGGAAAATGGAAAGCATTATACAAATGTAAGTTGTATAGAGTTTCATGGTAATTGTTAAAAATACTGAGGCAAAGATAATCCTTTGTAGACAGAG